TTCTCTACCCCCTTACCTTGCTTGATTTTTCTTGTAGCATTTATCATCACACAACAGATGTTTACTTCTTTATATCTGTTACCTTCTACTAATATAAGCTCTGGGGGGCGGGTGGGAGAGCGAGGGCTAGCACGCTGCCTGACATAAAATATTTGTGGAAGGTAAGAGGGAATATGAGTTCAGGAAATATTTGTTGTATGAATGAATGAAAAAAACATGTAACATACCTCAATAAGTTAGGAATGGTTATGGTGTCTCCCACTCACAGACCTGATGCCTAACTTAGCAAGGGTTTTCTGCTAGAATATTAGGGATCATTTTTATGGTAGAGACTGAGGGCTGAAGGACCATTTTCAAGGCTGGTGAAGTTCTCTTTGGTAATACTCTTTCCCATCCTTATAATATGAGAAAGCATAGCTTCCCCATCAGGGGCTTTGATACCTAGATGCTTAGGGTAGGTGCTGGAGCAGGAAAGCAGCCCAGCACCCACTGCAGAAACCCTCCAGAGATAAGGACGCACATGGGCAATGTCCTGATACTTGGTGTATTAGTCAGGGTAAAGTAGGCTCAACTGTGGTAACAAACAAGCCCCCAGTCTGGGTGGCTCAGTACAACACAAGTGTATTCACTGATGTCCCAGATGTGTGTTGCGAGGTGAGAGGGTCTTCACACAGTCACTCAGGGACCCAGGCTCCCACCATGTCGGACTTTGCCGTCTGTACTGCATGCCTTCCAGGTCACCACAGACATGGAAAAAGAAGAGGCTCAAGCACGGGAAATGTTTTCATGTCCCAGGCCTGAGCAGCAAACATCCCTCCTGCCCACATTCAACAGGCCCCACCTAGATGCCCGGGGTGGAAATGTATCTTTTGTCCACACCCAGGAGAGAAGGGAGATGGTTTAGTGACCATACAGCATTGTCTCTGCCACACCAGGAGAGGGTAGACCTTGGGCTCTAGGACACATAGATATGATATGATAGAGCTACGTCTCCTGTCTGAGCCTCAACTGGGACACATTCAGGCTAGGTCTGCAGCTGGTGGCCCCAGGAATCCCAGTCCTCTGTGGGAAAGAACAGAGAGGGAGGGGATCTGGAGAAAGAAGCTGGAGGGTGTGACTGGTTGAGAGAGGGTCCCTAGGGGACAAAACAGCAATAAAGACTGGGAACAGAAAAGGCAGCCAGGTACATGGTCCTCTTCCACCGCTTCTCCCAGAACACAGGGCAGCCGTGGGACTGCGGGCTCAGGAGGGCTGCTTCGTTTGAACCCTGAGGACCTGCATGCCTGGAGGAAGCCAGGAAGCGGCACCTGGGCAGGCGCTCTGCCCTCTGTGCAGCACGGGCAGCTGGGCGGGGACAAGATGAGGGCACTACCCTCAGGTGGCTTCTCAGGTGGGAGGCAGAAAGAGAAGGCTGGGATGAAAGAACAGGAGCCTAGCTGAGATGCCTTCCCCAGTACTCCCAGAGCAACCTCGAGAGACATTAAGGAGTGGGTGCTAAGCTGGCTGTTCATGGGGCATCGCTTATATCCACAGGCTACTGATCCTGGGCTTACAGGTGCTGTAGAAGAAGGTGCTCTGATTACAGCATGGCCTCTGCCTTGTATTCTATTCCAGTCCTCAGGCCCATAATGTGGTGTGCCTGGGGGCAGCTGGGGTGGGAAGGGGGTTGGGAGGGACCATAAGTCCCAGTAGGCCCACCACTAAGATCCAACACTGGGGCATCGTCCTGTTTTCTACTTGAACAGCCCTAGCCTGCCTGCCAGGTGCCTGACGCTTGCATTTCTCCCGCCAGTCCCCTAAAGAGCTAGACCTTGTCCCTGTGGGAACACAACAGTCGGGTCCCACCATGCCCCTTACTTGGAGCATCACCACTAGGCCACCCTGCCTGTCTCCTCCCTCCCTAATAGGGAAATGTAGGGCTGGGGGGACAGGAAGCCAGAGAGCTGTTAAGATACCCCTCCCCTGCCCCAGAAAGATCAGAACTTCCCAAGCAAAAGAGATGACTCCTGGTACAGCAGACGGAATCTGAACGGCCCCAGGCAATGGGACAGGAATTCATAATAAGATGACAGTGATAATTAGCACCAAAGGGCTGAGCGGCTTTCTCTCCAAGGGACACCTTTCTTCTCTCCCCCTCCCTGAGCAAACAGAGCAAGCCAGCCCCCTCCAGATCCGTGAGAGTCCAGCTAAGCACCGGGGACTAATGTTAAGGCAAGAGTTGCATTGACTCTTTATGCTTCTTGATCTTTTGGGGATCACGGACACCTTTGAGAATTTGGTGAAAGCTATGTTTCCTCCATCGGGGGGGACAAAGTATATATATGGAGGCCTGGTAGCACAGTAGTTAAGCATTCTGCTGCTAACCAAAAGGTCAGCAGTTCAAATCCACCAGCCGCTCTTTGGAAACCCTATGGGGAAGTCCTACTCTGTCCTATAGGGTCACAATGAGTTGGAATCGACAGGACAGCAACAGGTAAGGTTAACAGGTATGATTCCTCCACTGGGGGGAAAAGTATATATATAGCTCATCACAATACAATTCCAATGAATTCTCTAAGTCCTTAAACCCCATCCACGAGCCCTTTAAGGGTCAAATAATTCTTCATTTATTCAATATACATCTATTAAGAGTCTACTAATAGGTGCCATGATAGGTGTTTTCATCTACAGTTGTTACTTGCCACTGAGTTGGCTCCAACTCATGACAACCCTATGCACAACATACCAAAATGTTGCCCAGTCCTGTGCCATCTTCCTGATTGTTAGCATATTTGAGTCCATTGTGTAGTGCCTTCCAACCCAGGGGGCTTATCTTCCAGCACGATATCAGCTAATAGTCTGTTGTGATCCATAGGGTTTTCCTTGGCTAATTTTCTGAAGTAGATTGCCAGACCTTTCTTTCTAGTCTGTCTTACTCTGGAGGCTCCACTGAAATCTGTCTACCATGGGTGACCCTGCTGGTATCTGAAATACCAGTAGTCTAGCTTCTAGCATCACAGCAACACACAAGCCACCACATTACAGCAGATTGACAGATGGTGGTGGTCATCTACAGTAGTACTTCTTAATCAGAGCAGCACATCAGATTCACCTAAAAAAAAAAAAAGATACACCTATGCTGATGATATAGTTCTTAAAGATTACGTTCTACCTCCCAGTATGGTGAGTAGTATCTGGGGTCTTAAAAGCCGATGAGCAGCCATCTGAGATACAACTACTGGACTTAATTCGTCTAGAACAAAGGAGAAAGAAGGAAACTCAAGAATCAGAGAAGGAACTGGACTACAGGACTGTCTGCATAAACCACTGCCTCCTCCACCCTGAGACCAGACAAACTAGACGGTGCCCAGCTACCTGTACTGCACGTTTTGATAGGAACACAATAGATGAATCCTGATGAAAAGGGAGAAAAATGTGGAACACAACATCAAATTCTTAAAGAACTCAAACTTACTGGACCTACTGAGGCTGGAAGAGTCCCCAAGACTATGGGCCTGAGTTGCCCTTCAGACCTTGAATTGAAACTATCCCCTGAAGTCACCTTTAAATAAGTAACAGATTAGCCCAAAGAGTAAAGATTGTCAACCCTGAGCATTAGGTTTTTAAAAAATACATATATCTATATAGGATCAAAGGGTCAATACAAAGGTTGGAGGGTGACAGGAGATTAAGTAAATGGAAGTGAAAAAACTAGACCAGAAATAACAAGAATGTTGACACAGTGTGAAGACTGGATCCAATGTTACTAATTATTATGTCTAGAAACTGTGGAATGGGAGCAGGTTTTGCTGTGCATATTTTCACCAAAAATTTTAAAACACACATATGCTTGAAGTCTCTCCTCGTAGCACAGGAACTCTCAACACTGGTTCTAAGTTGGAATCACCTGGGGAGCTTTTTAAACTCCTCACCCAGACCAATTAGCTCAGAATCTTTGGGGATAAGACCCAGGAATCCCCAGTGATTCCAACCCACAGACAAGGGAAAGAGCCACTGTCCTAGAAAATCCAAACAAGTGTTTTTAAAAAGCTCTTCAGGTGGCTGTGATGCACACCCCAGGGAAGTTCATTCATTCATTCATTCAATAAATGTTTAATGAGCACCTACTGTGTGCCAGGCCCTATGCTGGGCATTGTGCACATACCAGAGACTAAAGAAACAACATCTCTGTCCTCACAAAGTTTACATTCTCGTGGAGCGAGCTGGCAAAAAATAACTAATGCATAAAAAAAGAATTAATTGCAAGCTGTAATTAATGCCACAAGGGGCATACATTAGGAAGTGACATAAAGAAGAACAAGGGGAATCTCCTTGGGGAGATCAGGGAAGGCCTCCCTGAGGAGGGGACACTTAAGTTGATACTTGAAGGATGAGGAATCAAGGAAGAGCACTCCAGGCAGAGGGAACAGCCAGTGCAAAGGCCCCGCAGCAGGTAAGAGCTTGGAATAAGAAAGTGGCGAGAGTGACTGGACCATCCAAGGTGAGGAAGGGGTAGGGTGTGGCATGGGCCGAGGCTGAGAGGCAGGAGCCAGACCAGGCAGGGCCTTGAAGATTTGGGAAAGAATGTAGATTAAATTCCTGACTGGTATTCTCTCCACTCCCCAGAACCACCTGGGCAAGGAGGAAATTATATTTCTCATTACCAGTTGGAAAACTGAGGCTCCGAAGATGAAGTGACATTCTAAAGCAATGCAGCTCAAAAGGGGCTCAGCTGGGACGCACACCTGTCTCCTGACATGGTGGCTGGGAAAGCAGAGGCCACAGGCCCCTCAGAAAGTGTCCGGGAGGGTGGTTCTCGCCCCTTCTGGCCACAAGCCTCTCTTTTGATTGACCCCTTCCCTCCAGCCCAGGCCCTGATATGACTAGGGTGGGGACAGCATTGTTCTCCCTCCACCCTGACCCCGCCTCACAGCCCTTAGCACCATGGAAACCGAGCAAGCCAACCAGAACACTCAAAGGTATAAAAGGAGCCCTTTATAAACTGAGCCACCTCTCCCCAGACAAGCCACCGCTCAACATTCTGAGGCCTCCAGGCGGCCCCCTCCTCCTGGATAAACAAATCCAGCTGCCCTCCATTTTCCTCCAGGAAGGAAAAGGGGAGTCTTCTGCCCGAGATGCGAATGCTCAGGGACAAGATCCAAGCCTGCAGTCACCCCGCCTAGAGCTGCAGTCACATGCATGGCCATGCCACAATGCAGGGGCGCCTCAGGAGCCCCAGAAAAGTTCCTACAGTGACCTGGGGAGTATCCGGACCAGTGACAGCTATGTGTCAAGCATGAGACACCTCAGCCCCGAGAAATGCAGTAACGTCAGCCTGGCGAGCAGCGGGTACGCGGCAGATAAGGAGAACAGCGAGGTCAGCTTGGTGGACAGCGGTCGAGTTTCGAGGTTGAGTAGAAGGCTCAGCAACCAAGTGGGCAGCACCCAGACCAGCCATCTGTGTGCCACCTACTCTTCTATCCAGTTAAAAAGCCTGCAGACCGGCCAAGCCGATAACAGCAAGCAGACTGGAGGGGAAAAGTGAGACCAGCCTGCTGGGCAGCAGCACCAGCAGCAGGTCCAGCAGCCTGACCAGCATCAGCTTCATCAGCCAGGGCAGCAGCGTCCTTACCTACCAGGTGAGCAGTGGGCTGGTCAGTTCCACAGGCAGCCTGCCCTCCAGCCAGAGCAGCAGCTGCCAGGTCAGCAGGGTGGACAGCAAGGTGCAAAGTGGGCTGAACAATAGCAATACCAGTCTGCAGGAGGACAAGACTCAGGACACTGTGAAAAACAGCAGCCAGATCACTGACGGCAAGCAGCTGCCCAGACGTGCATGCCTTTATGAGGACACTGCTCGGCCACTAAATCCTCTCTAAGAGACAGACTTAAGGACCCAGACATCACCCAGAGTGGTTATGGCCAAAACAAGCAGAAAGGGCCTTGTAAAAGTGCACACCAATCGTGTCTCGTGTGCACAATGAGTAGTACTATGTGTAGCAATAATCATCAGCAGACAGGTCACATGTAGCAACAACTCTTGATGATGAGCACCATCTATACTGAGAATCAGCAATTAATTGAGACCATCTAAACTGAGAACCATCATCTCCAATGAGGAGCACCGTCATTCACCATCGCTCAGCACCACAGTCCACAGTGACTCTCATGAGGGAAGTACTACTAGAGTGGCCGTGAGTGACGCCAGCCGACGGGGAGCACCATCTAGAGAGAACACTTGTGAGCACTGTGCACAGGGAGCAGCATCCTTGAAGAGCATCAGCCAAGGGAGATTTACACTATTCATTGTGAGCACTGCCCCTAGGTGGCCTCAACCCAGAATCTTCCCCGGGCGAATGCTCACTGATGCCCATTCATGCCCACTCATGTCTCTACCTGGATCTCAGACGAGGCAAAGAGAAAAGAAAGGAGACCAAAAATCATCACATTTTTTGAGATGGTTGGACAATGCTTCCTATGGCAGGAGGAATGCCGGGATAAATGCTTAATAGCGACAGAGACCAACCAGCTGAGAACAGCTGAGATGGGAGCACTTTGGGCCATTTGGTGAACGTCCACTCAGTGGATGGGAGGGCTGAGGTCTCTGCCCCTCCCCTTCTCAAGACATCAAAGCCCCTCCCTCAGCTGACCACACAGGCCTGGGAGAGCGGGTCTGCCAAGGGGCAGAGGCCAGAGACAGGAAGACATCCACTAGGTACCAGAAAGGAAGCTGAGGGGGCACCAAATACAATAAAAGGTGTTAGGAGAGGCTGTATATGTGTGTCTGTGCATGCGCTCCAGGCCGAGGTTATAGTGGGAGCGGGCCACAAACACATTAAAGAACTCTGGAAAGAGGGAACAGGGCTTAGCTACCAACTCTGCTACTTCTAAGCTGGTGATCTGGGGCAGCATACTTAACCTTCCTGAGCCTCAGCTTCCTCATCTGGAAAAAGGGGATGATCTTTGCTATTTGATATTTAGGACAGTTATGTGGATTACATGAGAATGTATATGAAGTAACTGGCAAGTAATGGATATTCAGTAAATGTTTCCTTCCCTTTCCTCATTCATCTCTAAAATGGGCACAGTGGTTTCTGCCTTGCTTAATCACAGAAAGATAGTTACCGCTAATATGTAGAAAAGGGTTCTTGGCCCAACAAAACAACAACAAAAAAGATGGAGCCGTAACATCTGCTAGGAGGCCACACCTATTGCCCCAAACAAGGTCACATTCACAAGCACAGGGGTTAGGATTGCAACATATCTTTCAGATGATTTTGATAGGTTTGAGGAGGTGTGAGTAGTTCTGGGCGAGGGCACTACATGTATGGATTGGGCAGTCCCTTCTCAAGTGTGAGCACCCCTTTTAAGTATGTTCTCTCCTCGACTTTCCTCCTAGCAAAGCCACATGGGCTGTGCAGGGCCTGTGCACTCACAATCTGGGGCAGACAGAGGGGCTTCCCGCCCTGCCCACGTGAGCCGCCACCTGTGCACCTGGCCCTGGGGGAAGCTTGGCTGCCTCACTCTCCCCCATCACTGCCCTCCTCTCCGCACAAAGGAACCCCTGGTCTCTCCTCAGGACACCCCCCTTGCTATCCTATCTCAGAGGAGAACAGAGGCTGTACAGAGGCAGACAAAGTTGTAGCCAGATCAGCATTCAACAACTGCATGCTGGACCTCTCAGCCTGGAGGCCAGATGCTCAGATACAGCATGGCCAAACTGAGTTCACCACCTTCCCCGACCACTTCCTCCTCTCACGCCCCTTCTCAGCAAACAGCATCATCACATCCAGGTCCAAGCCAGAACCCTGCACTTCACACTAGAGTCCTCCTCCTGCTTCAGCCCCTCATCCTACCAGTCCCTAAAGGTCTCCTGAATTTTCCCTCCTCCCCACTTTCACTGCTGGCCCCCTAACCAGGCCATCATCTTCCCTGAGGATTAAAGCACCAGCTCCCTCTAGGCTAGAAGTTCTTAACCCTGGCTGCACATTAGAATGACCTGCGGAGCTTTAAACAATGTAGATGCCCAGACCACCTCCAGAGATTCTGATTTCACTGGACTGGGGGGAGGGGGTGGTGGTGACATCATAATTTTTTAAAGCTCCCCAGTGATGACAATGTTCAGCTGGGATTGGAAATCATTGCTGCCTGCCGTAGTTTCCTAGGACAGCCATAACAAAATACCACAAAGGTGGGTGGCTTTCAAGAGCAGCAGTTGATTGTCTCACAGTTCTCTGGAAGCTAGAAGTCTGAATTCAGGGCATCAGCAGGACTATGCTCTCTCTGTCCACTCTAGGGGAAGATTCTTCCCAATCTCTTTCAGCTTCTGGCAGGCTAGGCATTTCTTGGTGTTCCTTAGCTGCTTGTAGAGCAGCTAAGATGTGGCATCTTCCCCGTGTGTGTCCCTGTTTCCGTGTGTCTTAGTCATCTGGTGCTGCTATAACAGAAATACCACCAGTGGATGGCTTTAACAAACAGAAGTTTATTCTCTGACAGTCTAGGAGGCTAGAAGTCCGAATTCAAGGCACCAGCTCCTGGGGAAGGCTTTCTCTCTCTGTTGGCTCTGGGGGAAGGCCTTTGTCATCAATCTTCTGCAGATCTCGGAGCTTCTCAGCATAGGGACCCCGGGTCCACAGGACACCCCCTGCTCCTGGTACTACTTTCTTGGTGAAATGAAGTCACCCCCTTCACCCCGTTTCTCTGCTCAATTCTCTCTTTTATATCTCAAAAGAGATTGACTCAAGCTACAACCTAAACTTGTAGATTGAGTCCTGCCGCATTAACATAACTGCATCTAATCTTGCCTCATTAACATCATAGAGGCAGGATTTACAACACATAGGAAAATGACATCAGACGACAAAATGGTGGACAATCACACAATACTGGGAATCATGGCCCAGCCAAGTTGACACACATTTTGGGGGACACAATTCAATTCCTACATAGTGTGTGCCCTTTTTTTGTAAGAAACTGCTCAGAAGGGATTAGGATTAGGACCCACCTTACTCTGGTATGACCTCACTTAATTTAACTGATAACATCTGCAAAGAAAAACCCTATTTCCCCAAACAAGGTCACATTCACAGGCACAGGGGTTAGGACTGCAACCTATATTTCTGGGGGACACAATTCAATCCATAACACTGCCCTTACTATCTTTCTTTTATAATCCACTTTCAGCCCGGGGGTAAAGAACTGACAAGCCTCACTAACTAGATAGTAGACAAGAATTATCTTAGGTGAAGGGAAGGACAGCACACACTACAGAAGAAGTCAGCATAACTGAACTAAACCAAAGCTAAGAAGTTTCCTGAATACAATCAAACACTTCGAGGGACAGAGTAGCAGGGGTGGGGTTCTGGGGACCATGCTTTCAGGGGACATCTAGGTCAACTGGCATAACAAAGCTTATTAAGAAAATGTTCTGCATCCTACTTTGGCAAGCAGCGTCCGGGGTCTTAAAAGCTTGCAAGCAGCCATCTAAGAGGCATCAATTGGTCCCAACCCACCTGGAGTAAAGGAGAATGAAGAACACCAAAGACACAAGGAAAGTATTAGCCCAAGAGACAGAAAGGGCCACATAAACCAGAGACTTCATCAGCCTGAGACCAGAAGAACTAGATGGTGCCTGGCTACCACCAATAACCACCCTGAAAGGGAACACAACAGAAAGTCCCTGATGGAGCAGGAGAAAGGTGGGGTGCAGAACTCAAATTCTAGTAAGAAGACCAGACTTAATGGTCTGACTGAGACTGGAGGAACCCCGGAAAGCACAGCCCCTGGATTCTCTATCAGCCCAGAACTAAAAGAATTTCCGAGGCCAACTCATCAGACAAAGATTGAACTGGACTGCGGGACATAAAATGATACTCGTGAAGAGTGTGCTTCTTAGCTCAAGTAGATACATGAGACTAAACGGGCAGCTTCTGTCCGGAGGTGAGATGAGAAGGCAGAGAGGGTTACAGTGTGCTGTCACAGTACAGGGAGAGCAATTAGGGGCACATAACAATGTATGTGTAAATTTTTGTATAAGAGACTGACTTGGAATGTAAACTTTCGCTTAAACTACAACAATAAACAAAAAGAACTGACAAGCCTGCCAAGGCCTGGAAGGTGATATAAGGGAGTGGGCAGGGCTTTGGCAAACTTGGGAGTCTGTGTCCATCTAAAGAGAAGCTAGAAATTCAGAAATCTATGTAAAATCTGCTGATTTTTAAATGTTTGTCACAAATTCGAATTCTTTAATAAAAAATGAAAAAAACCCTGCAGGGCCAATGAAACAATTCTCAAGGCAGGATTGAGCCCACACACCAATGACTTCTGTGTCTACACAGAGAACAGATGTTTGTGAAACAAAAAATCGTTTATATTCCACCCCTGCTTAAAACTCAATATTTTCCCATTTTCCAGAAGATTTAACATGGCACTCAGTGTTCTTCACAAATTGACCCAAGTACGTTTTCCCTACCCCACCTCCTGCACTTCCTCCTAAAGCTTCCCCACACCATCCGTGCCAGACAACTCCACATTTCTCCAATCTGAATT